AGACAAATATTGGATCATTAAGGGAAGACAGCGTGTTAAGACTATCATCAGCAAATGTGTGATATGCAAACGATATAGTGCTCGTCCTGGGGTACAGGATATCGCTCCACTTCCTCCAGACAGAATCCAAGAGGCGCCTCCATTTGCTGTGACCGGGTTGGACTTCGCCGGTCCATTTTTTACGAAAGACAGGCAAGGTAAAGTTTACATGCTGTTGTTAACGTGTGCGGTCACTCGTGCCTTACATATAGAGATAGTAACTGATCTCAGCACTGAAAGTTTTTTGCTAGCTTTCCGAAGATTTTTAGCTCGCCGAGGACTGTGTACCACCGTGTATTCCGATAATGCCAAGACTTTTAAAAGAGCTGATAAAGAACTAAAACATATTTTTAAAACTTTGAGTGACTCATCTGTGAAAGAATTATTTTCTGCTAGAGGCATAAATTGGAAATTTATTATTGAGAGGGGGTCCATGGTGGGGAGGGTTTTGGGAGCGTATGGTACGAACCATAAAATCCAGCTTGCGAAAATTATTGGTCGATCATCCCTTACTGTGAAAGAGCTTGAAAAACAGTGCTCATTGAAATCGAGGCAATGATTAATTGTAGACCAATTACCTACGTGTTTACCGATCCCAATGAACCTTCTCCACTAACACCCTCTCATTTTCTGGTTGGTAGACGATTGCTATCTCTGCCTGCTAATAAATAACCATCAAATAATTTTGATTGGGTCAAGAAATTCAATTATTAAACGATTATAAATACCATCCAAGATATTTTAAAAAATCATTTTGGAAGCGTTGGAGATCAGAGTATCTTTTTTAATCTGAGATCTGCCAATATTTGTCCTCCACACTCTAACGCATCTCAGTTTAAAATCAACGATATTGTCTTGATTCATGACGACAAACATCCCCAGAAATCTTTGGACAATAGGTAAAATTTTGGAATTAATGCCAGGCAGAGATGGTAAAATAAGATCTTGCATAATTAAACACCTACTGGTACCTTAAAAAGGCCTATACAATTGTTAGATAATATGGAACTTAACTAATGTTTGTATTTTGTATTTTAGGTTTGATTCTCCTGACCTTGCTGATAGGTATCATTTAATGTTTTGCAAAATTTTATGTACTTATAATTATGTATGCATGTTTGTTATATTTAACCATTTCTCCAGGATTTATTGTCAAAATATTAATTGAATATTCTAGAATATATTATTGAAAGATGAACTCTCCACCGAGTTCAGGTGGGGAGTGTTGTGTAATTTGAAGAAAAAGGCTAGAGGGCGCTGTTGCTCGCTTAGTTGTAAGAGAATAAAGTTTGTTCATGTTGAAGGCGGCGGCCTAAGAATACGCTCTGTATATAGTAATTAAAATATTGTTTAAAATGTAAAAGTGTTAAAATTAGTGAACTCACTGAACCACCATCATCTGATTTGGAGATGCACAAAATTATTAGAACACGTAAATAATAATAAAATAAATAGAAGAATATCGCCTAAGTAAGCAAAATAAATTTTTTGATACATGTCGTATGTGAAAGCATTCACGTACACGATTTACTGAAAATTTTGTGTTCTGTTACATTTCAAGACTTTTCAAAGGTTAAATTGAAAAACCTAAAATCATTTTTATTCCACCATTTCAGAAACTGATTCCAAAAATTAAACTCTATGTTAGTCACATAAAACAGCCAGGCATTTTGACTTCTGTTACAATTACAGAACATAATAGGTGCAGATTTTGAAACAGGTTTTAGAAGACAAGAAATAAGAAAGAGAATTTAACAGTAGCGAAAGATCTACCACACTGTTAGGTTAAATCAGCGTGGTATATTATAGTTTAGCATTTTAAACCGCTGTTTAACTAGTGTGACTTGAATGTTAATTAGGGGAATAACTTTGATTCAATTACATGCGATTTATCCTACTTTTTTGTTGCCCTCTTGCTTCCGCAAACATTAGGATGCAGATCAGCTCTCATTAATACATTAAGCGCTATATCAGACTCTATATTGTCCGTTTGTATCGCGTCGGTCGTCGTCGACAGACAATATACTGTTGCGTTTTTTTATTCTTCCTGGCACCGGTTGTTACGTTATTTTCTTCCTTCACGTTCGTACGAGGTTTGTAGATTTGGAGTGAATAACGACGACACTTGAAGAAGTATCGAAACACTTTATTTACCAATAGTCTCAGGACAGCTCCAAAATCACTTTTACAGTCGTCGAACTATTATAAACACGCTGACACGTTCAGCGACACAGCCTTCACACTGTCAGGCAATAACGGTGGAAACAGCTTCACTGCAAAGCACCAGAGTACAGCTTCCGACTCTGTTTGGTATTTCTCGGAATCAACGTACTTCGAGACACCCACGCGATTCTCGACGATACAAAGAGTATAAGCTCTCGACTCAGCACAGTCTAAGACAAAACGCGACGATGCACTATTCGCGATGCAGTAAAAGACTCTCTCGATGCACTCGACTCAACTCGGCGCTAACTTCGAGACACCGCTCAGTCACTGACTATCGCTCGCTAGCCGAGGCACACCACTCGATGAGAGACGCACTCTAACTGACTGCGGACCAGCGGGTTTATATAGCTTTCGGCTGTGTTCGAGAACATTCTGGGCTAACCGGTAGATACGTTCCAGAAGGTTCTCCATCCGTTCATGGGATATCGCCAATTCTGTCGCCAAATGGGCGATTTCTCACCAAATGTGGCAATCCTGCCTTTACTTGACATTTTATGGCAACCCTAAAACTGCTTTGCGGGGGAAGCCATCTTACCGCGCCTGTGCATTTCGTAACAATATGTTTCGTTCAGGTTGCATCATTCATTGCAGACTGAAGAAATACAACTTAAAAAAATATATATTTTTGAACAAATCTATTTTCTATCAAATTCTGTCCAAAACCATGATCGCGAGCACATCCGTGCAATCGGATATCGTGGCTAAATCGAAAGGAAGACAAAACAGGCACTTAACGTGTCAAAAATGTAAAATTGGATAGAGTATAGATCAAATACGTCATTGTCATCCTCAAATATATATTTTTGTCCAAAAAAGAAAAAGTAACTAACGGAAGCATTAGCACATTCAACGAACGAAACAAAGTACAGACATAAAATTAGCAAAATTCTTTATGTTTATATATAAGAAAATTCCTCATACCTACACACCTTTTTCACATGGAAACGTGCTCGGTGTATGAAAACGGTCTTTTCTGCGCGGCGACTGTGTTTTCATGTTACAGTATTCAGATGGAAAATTTAAATAATAAAAATTTTGAAAATATGTGAAAGACAACATCTGAAGGATGCCAGCAATGGAAGGAAATAAGACATCTCGAAAAAGGCCAAACCAACTTTGAAATAAGAGTTGTTCAATTATTTGTCCCCGTTGAAACTTATACTACATTAGAGTGAAGCATCTGCTTTTGTGATGACCAATAAATGGACATCCAAAGGTCGCAACCGCAAGGAGTAACCCTTACAGTTCGTGCATGTAAAATGTCACACATCAAACATTGCACATTAACTTGCTTCTGACACTGCAGCGTATAAGAAGAGATATCTAAACAAAATGTTTACAGATGACTGCACATAGGTCAGTCTTAAGTAAGATAAATGGCTTGAAGTTTGGGTAATCGGCATCGTCGCACAAGATGTCCGGTCGATTGCCAGGTGACATCAATTTATCTCTTAATATAAGTAAAAATATGATTTCAGTACAGTAAAGAGATCACATGTTTTCTCAAGAATCTCCACCAAGTTTTTTCGGCCATAAATAGCCTAATGACTCCACAGTGGCGAACTAAAAGGTGGTGGATTATGATATTTCACCACCAGGATTTGGCGATAGGGTCCCTTAATCACCAATCACCCTTTAAAAGGGAGGGAATATATAAGGTATTTCCTCCCTCCTTTCTGCATGCCTTCGTAGTATAGCGGTAGCATACGAGCGAGGGCATTGCTCATATTTCATGTCTCCTGCATCAAAAATTCCTAATGACTCTACAAAATTTGTTTAATTCTTATTATTTATTATTATTATTGTCCTTGTTATTAAAAAAACACATCAGTAGTAAGTGATTATATTGTTACGAAATGTACAGTCACGGTAAGATGGCTTCCCCTCAAAGCAGTTTTAGGGTTGCCATAAAATACCAAGTAAGAAGGGTTGCCACATTTGGCGAGAAATCGCCGATTTGGCGATATGCCATGGACGGATGGAGAGCCTTCTGGAACGAATTCTTACTGGTTTAGCCCAGAATGTACCCGAACACAAGCCGAAAGCTATATAAACCCTGCTGGTCCGCAGTCAGTGTGTGTGCCTCGTTTAGCGAGCTGATAGTCAGTCATTGAACTAGTGTCTCGAAGTCTAGCGCCGAGTTGGTCGGCGAGTGCATCGAGACTGTCTTTTAGTGTATCGCGAATTAGTGCATCGTCGAGTTTTGTCTTAGACTGTGCTGAGTCGAGAGCTATACTCTTGTGTATCGTCGAGTGCGTCACGAGTTGTTAAGTGGAGAGTTGCGAGAATACGTGGAGTTCCGAGAACGACCAAGCAGAGTCGAGAGCTGCACTCTTGTGCTTTGCAGTTAGCTGTCTCCACCGTTTTTGCCTGACAGTGTGAAGGCTGTGTCGCTGAACGTGTCAGCGTGTTTATAACAGTTCGATGACTGTAAAAGTGATTTTGGGGCTATCTGATTAATATTGGTAAATAAAGTGTGTTTCGATATTTCATTAAGTGCTGTCGCCGTTATTCACTCCAAATCCACACGAACCCCGTACGAACGTGAACGAAGAAAATAACGTAACAACTGGTGTCAGAAAAAAAAAAAAAAAAAAGCAACAATATGCACAGAACGGCAATGATGTAACAAGCCACATGATGTCACCAGCAGTAGCGTTATGAAACAACTAATCCACAAAAAAATCTGCACGCTTCGTCCTGATACATGGCAAAATATAATAAAAAATATATACCTGCACTTTCACTTCCAAATCCCTGCATTCTAATGTTATTTCATCCAGTGTGGCGGCACTGTCGTTGACTTCACTTCCACTGCCTGTATAAATACCAAATTATAGCTAATTTCAAAATTTTCAGTTGTTTACTTTTTTTTTTTTTTTTTTTTTTTTTGGTTTGTGTGTAAAAGTCAGCTTTAGTCGTTCAAATTTCATGGCTTAATGTAATGCAAATTTTCAACACTAACAATACTACGTCAACGTATTCACAGTTTCCAACATCTTGTTGATTTGGAGATTTCATTTGTCCGCGTCTTCTTCTTCTTCTTTTTTTTTTTTTTTTTTTTTTTTTTTTTTTTCTTCTTCTTCTTCTTCATACCTTCGTTCTTCATTTCTTCTTGTAACAAATTTTTAAGGAGATATTCTTCGATGCTCAGTGCGTTATTTGTGGATTGCTTTAATTGCATGTTGCCTTAAACAGCATCCGCACAATATCTAGAAACCATGCATTTCCAGCAGTGCTATAACAGGGCAAAAATTTGCACTTATTTATGCGATGTGACACTATTAGATATATATTTCAGATTCATAATTTTATTCCATTGATAGAAATGACAAGTTTATCCGATTCTTTCCATGAGAGAATAAGAAACAAAACTGAGGTCCTCTTTTCTAAAAATGAATAGTATAAACTTTCTCCAAGAAGACTACTCCGAAGATTATTCCAGTACTAGTGGCAGTATTAGACAAGACCTCGAGGAGTGCCTTGGAAAGGCACTGTATTTTGCCCAGAATGTAATTTATATAAGAATTCCACATCGCAGCTTTAATGAAAAACAAAATTTTCACCCATGAGACTATTTCCGTCAAATTTGAGTAAATGTACTCCTAAAGACTAAATTAAACTCAGTGGCGTAACAGCCCCAGTGAGCCAATGCCTGCAGTGCCCCGAAATCTGCTCTCTTGACCGTGGGCCCTGGGGTGCATAAGCATATGCCCTGAACAAGTGGTCAGCTTGTCGAAGGACCCCCAGTGTTTAGTCCCCAAGTGAACTTGGTACTCATTTTATCGACCATAAATGTACTCCTAACTTCCCATTTGTGGTAGTGCGAGAAATATACATGCATTCATGCAGATTCTTCACTATTTAATTTCTTTAAACGTAATGCAGGGCTCTAATATTTGGCGGCAACAGGCCCACCAGCGGCCGAGCGGTAAAATCGCTGAACACTGGTAGTTCGGTCCGAGGTTCGAATACCGCGAACGGGCTGGCTGTATGGGCGTTTTCGTGGTTTTCCCCATGTGTAACGTGTACAAGAGCCAGTTTCCCTTAGAAAGTCCTCCACGAAGGCATCCCTTCCCTTAGGCAGATAGCCCTAGTGTGCTTTGCCGTATTCTCAATACACACCAAATTGGCGGCATTCATTTAGAAAGTGAAACGCTGTTTATAGAGAAAAAAAGCAAAATGTATAGCGAAATGAATAGGTCTTCCGGGAAAATTGCCTCTTTTGGCTAAACATTTACCTAAATTTTTAAAACGAAAAAATTTTTTACATTATTTTTTTCGGGGGGGGGAAAGAGCAGCCATACTACAAACACTGTCATCAAATATCAATAAATTTAAACTTTGCCTATTCTAATAGTTTAACAACTTGTCTGCGAGGATAGATTTATTAGTTTCCGGAAGAACAAATAAAATCAAATTAATCTAATTTTAAGTTATATTTTATTTTTCAGTTCAATGCTCGTATGCAGTATTCTGATTATGTAAATAGATGTTTAGACCATGTATCATCTTTCCAGTTCCAGACTGCACAATTTTAAAAGCGATAAAATTTATTTCTGCCTACAGCTTAAAGACAAGATCTATTAAAGATATTTTCTTTAAGATCTAATTAATCTCTAATCTAATCTTTAAGATCTAATAAATTTTTAAATCTATTTCTGCCTGATGCTTAAGAAACTTTCCAACTGAATGTATGGGAAGTAGGATACAGTAGCAAGAGCAAAGGCAGAGGACGAATTTATTGAAACATAATTAAATTCTTAAACAAAAAATACTCAAAAAACCGGTTCATAGCTGTCTTTTCTTTCCATTTTCTTTCCATTTGGCGCAAACGAGTCAATTGTCCTAATGCGATGCATACTGTTAAAGAACAGTGATATCATAATTGATGTAAACATATTAAAAATGTCCAATAACAACAAAATGTGCCACCTGAATAAATTAACCGAAAGTTAACCTAATTAGTGTAAGTTCGATCTATGATAAGGTGAGGAAGTGGACATACATATATAGTAATATGTAGGATGCTTACACTGCATGCGAGACACGTTTTACGTTATTGGTTTGGGTCAAATGAAAACAAACAAACAAAAAAAAGTAATATGATGCGGATGAGAAATACACTTCCGCTTTTTGGATGAAATCTGGAGAACATAAAGATGAAATTTGCATTGGGGTGTGCTGTATTTGGGGGTACTATATGTTTTTTTTTTTTTTTTTTTTTTTTTTTTTTTTTTTGACGTATAATTTTATAATTTTTTCAGTAGTGCTGCATCTTTACACGGCTTTAAATAGCAGTTCAGTTCCAAAATATTAAACAAGCTCACAGGTGTATGGTCCTATTGGAGGCATATGTATTTGTGAAATATCTTTTATTTGGTGGAACTGCTTGGGGGAAAATGAAAATAATAATCAAATTACTACATATCGATAAACTCTAACGCTGCTACAATAGCACCGCCAAATGTATATTATTTATGCATATAATAGAAATACGCGTAAATATATATACATATAGACAGAGGTTTAATAAACTTATTTGTTGCGTGTTTTACGGTTCTTGGAATTTCGTTGCTTATCTTATCAGTAGTAACTGAATAATTTTTTTAATAATTTCTTTATGTAATATGCTTTTTTATTATTATTATTCCACCAATTAGTCAACTCTGGGGGGAAAAATCCTTTACAAGTTTTGGTCCACCAGCAGCCGAGCGGTAACGTCGCTGAGCTTTAGTAGTTCGGTCCGAGGTTCGAATCCCGCGAACGGGCTGGCTGCATTGGTGTTTTCGTGGTTTTCCCCATGTGTAACGTGTAAACGAGCCAGTTTCCCTTGAAAAGTCCTCTACGAAGGCATCCTTCCCTTAAGGGCAGATAGCCCTCGACTGCTTGGTGCTACTTTGGTAGACGGTTGCACGGATTTTGGCGATTTCTTGGCGATTTTCCTTTGGCGAGTAATACAACTTATGGTAAACCCATTGCTGGATAAGTTATTTATGGTAACCGATACTTTGTTGTCATTTTATTTAAAAAATAATGCGTTTTATTCTGCATAAATTCCGTGTTTAAAATATTATTTGATGGCTTTTTAAATTAAAAATCAATTAATTTTGCATTTTATTTGAAATAAAATTTTATTGTTTATCATATTTTATTTTTTATGTGGGGATGATGTACAATGACGTCACTTACTTTAAAAGTAATTCGTTTTAATTATTAAATTTAATCTAATGTTTAAACATTATTTATGGCGTGAAATATTAAATACAATTAATTGGCATTTTTAAAAAAAAATGATTTTATTATGTATGATTAATAAATAATTTTTAATTCTAGCGTGATTTAATCGGCTCTCTGATTGGTTACAGAATATTTGTGCATTAACGAGGCTGTAACAGCTCCCTGTTGGTTACTGACATTTGTGCTTTTCCGCGCCATTTTAAAATTTAATTCATATCTTCGAATTTCCTTCAAAGATTTAGCTAAATTATGAGTCTGATTTTTTTTTTTGTGGTACTTAGCATAAACAACAGGTAAATACTCAAAAAATGTAGTACATATTTTTCTTTTATTTTATAATTAATATACTTCAATTTTTGTTAAAAAATAATAAACTATTTTCAGTATTGCTGAGATAATTATTGTCCATATGTTTTAATGTTAATTATATTCTATATAACGTATTTTAAAGTATTTGAATTTAATTATTCTATATAACATATTTTAAAGTATTTGAATTTAATTATATTCTAATTCTTTTAATGCTGGTATGAGGTTTTTTAATTCGATATTCTTCCAGTAATATTTTAATCTAATTAAACGTTGGCCAATGTTTTATAGCGGTATTTTTATTCTCTTCTTTGCTAATGAAATAATAATAACCTTACTTAGTATTTTATTCTCATAGTAATGTATTTTATTTACACTTGCCTGCCATCTTAAAAACGACATTTTAACAAAAAATTAATCGATACTTTTAACGATATTTATTTATTTATTTATTTATTTTTTAATGTTTCGAATACTTTACTATGCGTAAAAACAGCGTTTTTCAAGATGGCTGACGTTTGTAAAAACCGCGCCAACAATTGCGCCAAAGTAAATCGCCAAAAATCCGTGCAACCGTCTACCAAAGTAGCACCGAGTGCTTTGGCGTAATCTAATAACCCAAACCATTTACAAGTTTTTCTCTTAAGGACCTTCGTTTAAAGTTTTATCACAATACGCATTGCACTGTATGAATAAGAGATATCTGTGTTGTTTGTAAAACAGTGAACAACGAAATGTTTAATCAAAAGCGACTTCCAAGTATCTACGATTATGAGAGATTATTATAAAAAAAATTTAGCTTGGTTTATATTAATCCGCTGAATGTTGATTATAATTAAATAATAAACATTGTTCATTAATAATATCAAACTTTAGTTTAAACTATTCCTCAACTTTCTATTAATAAAACTAGCAACAGAATTGAAAAAATGTGGTTGGCGAATGATTAACTTACAGCTGATCTACATAACATAGTTTTTGAAGCGAATTTTATTTATTTCCCTTACAAGTAAATATTTACAAAAATTATTGATTGGATAAATTATAATTTATATTAGTCACCGACATTATACAAAAATAAAGCAAAGATCAAGATTCATTAAAACGTATATTATTTTTTAAAATGTTAATTTTTTGAACATTGATAAGATAACGCACAGCAGCAGTTTGAAAGATAAAGTTCAGAATCACCGATTTCCCAAAATACATGTATAATCAACAGCACTTACATGGAAGAGAAAAATAAAAACATTTCTGATGGCAAAACAC